TTGTGAAAATCCTGGCGCGAGCCTGAAGGTCCATCTCCCTTCTTGTTCGCCTGCTGTGGCTTGCCAGAATCCTCAGACCTTTTCAGCGTACGGCACTGCCCCCTCGTATGGCCAAACTTCTTGCAGTAGGTGCAGAAAGGAATTCCGTTCCTCTGCTGGCCACCCTTGTGAAAAGGCTTCTTAGGCTGTGGTCCATTCTGCTGGCTCTGCGGCTGGAATGGCCTCTTCTTCCAAGGGCCTTTCCCATTGGAAGGCTGCGCCGTATTGTTCTGGCCACTAGGGCCTCCACCCCCGTTTTGCAAGTGACCCTTGGCGGCATTAAGACAGGTGCGGACGCTCACGTCAAGATCAATGACAGCTGTCTTGAGCTCCTTGTACGTAGTGTACTGGTTCCTGCCCAGCACGAGCCTCTCGCGAAGCCACTGGGGTAAGCCTTCATAGAACGACGACATTGCCTCGTTCTCAGTGAGAGCGACAGTCAGGAGTAACAGAGTCCTTTCGAACTCGTTGGCATACTCCTGCACAGTGCGAGTTCCACACTGCATGCTCTTGATGCAGCTGCGCACCTCCAGGTCAGTCTTTTGCACATGGAAAGCGTCTTTCATCGCACTGCAAAAATCTGACCATCCGAAGGTGGCCGACGTTGCTCCAGCGAGCTTCATAGTGCTGTAGATTGTGTTGCGCGCAGTCTCATCGAGAGCACCAGTAGCAGCAATAACGCGTGCATCAGGGCGCACGTTGTGGACGGAAAGCATTTCCTCCACGTGATGAAGCCAGGATTCCACGTTCGTCTTGCCATGAATGAAACTCGGCAAGCCAGTGGGGAGCGACCCAAATGCGGGTGCGTCTGGCGACATCGGCTGCTCTGTTGGAGCTCCGGCAGAGGTAGAGGGCTGGCCATTGTTAGGAGGGGGGCGATATATCGGCCTCCTCCTGAGCTCCCTATACTGAGCTTCCAGCGTCGTGCAAGTCGATTCAAGACTGATGCACGTAGCACTTAGCTGCTGCAGGGTGTCCTCAAGGCTCTTGATCTGGTTGTTCTTGAGGCCAAGAGACCTCTTAAACTGACGAGCCTCGGCAGTGACTTTGGTAAGCTGAGACTGGATGGTTTCGATTGAAACTTTCTGTTCAGCAACTTGAGCCTCAAGCTCATTGACCCTTCGTTTCTGCTGCAGCAAGGAAGATGCTTGTTCGGCCACCGTGGTTTGAAGTTTTTCAAACTCCTCAGGGAAATTATCATCGGTGCCAACATCATCAAGCCCTTCCTGTTCTCCATTCTCTTCCTGGTTTCCCAAGGCTTCTTCCTCTTCCTCAGGAAGGTCCCCTATGACGTCCTCAGCATTAAGGTCAAGGTCTGGAAAGTCTTCCAGTTCATCAACTGAAGTCATAGGGACATCCTCCTTTGGTGGTTCCTTATGAGGAGTAGCCATAGAGGGGTTGTTAAGATGGAGCTTAAGAAGAGTTGTTCTTCTTTGTTGAGAAATATGATCTTAGTAACGGTCCTCTATCACTCAAGGTGATAGGCAAGAGATTCTGAAATTTTCCAGAAATCTTTTATATAGATCAATATTCTCACAAAGAGAAAGGTACAGAGAAAGAGTTGTTAAATAAGTTTTCTAATCCAATAAGGAAATAGAGAGAGTTCCCCAAATTGCTCAAAGAGCAAATTTAGAGGAATCTTTTAACAAATCTCTTAGATCTGTAACACTCTGCTATTATAAAAATAGCGATGAGTCTTCCACCAAGAAAGGTGGGCAGAGAAATAAATTCTCTTAAAGCTCAAAGAGCTTTTATAGATTGGAAATCCTTGAAGAAGACTTCTTGATCTTCGGAGTTTCTCAACTCTTCTTAAAGAAAGAGCTTGAGACTATTCTAGATCTAAGATCTAGAAACTCCTAATAATAATTAAAAAAAAAAATCTAGTTAGCCACACAGGGCAAAGGATAACCAAAGCTCTGAATACCAAATGTAACACGGGCTCATATGAAAACGCCCTTAAACTCACAACAAAGACCCGGGCTTATAAATGAATGCCCACAAAAGGGTCAATAGTAGGCTTATAAAACGCCAAGAATACACACACAGAGTGAAAGACTAGTCCTATTAATAGCCTCAAGTCTTGGAAGCTTGATAGGTGAAGCCTTGGGAGAGAAAATGTAACTTCACCAAGAAGGTAGTAGTTGCCTGGAGCACTTGTGAGGGAAAAGACTTGGACTTAGAGAGAAGATCCCATTTCCATTTTGGTTAATTGGAAGTTGGGAGTTGAGAATGAGCTTCCTTGCTCAAACCCCTCCTTGACCTCCTTGGGGAGCTCCACTTCCTCCATGGCAACAAGGGCAAGGAGCTCCTTGGGGTAAGCTTGCTTAGGTGGCACAATGGTTGGACTAGCAACCAATGAGAGAGATAGTTTTGTGATAAGGTTGGTTTTGTTACATGTTGAAATTTGTAACATCAACGCTCAAATGTTATTGGTTGGAATTACACCCAATGTGGAGGTTGGGTTGATTCCCAACCATGCTTGTCTTTTAGTGGTGGTGGTCCACAATTGTGGACCAAGTAGCATTCATCCCTTCCAACCTATCCTTCCCGTAAGTCGCTACCTTACGTGGGTAGCGTCTTAGAGAGTCGTTGCTAAGATAGTCGCTAAGGTAGATAGGGTATGTGTTACAATGGGTCCTCGTCCCAATCAGACTTCCCGTCCCTTCCCTCCCCGCCTTCCCCGTTCTCCCCCCTCCCTTCGCGCTCCCCATCCCCTCCATCTGGTCGTGCGACTGAAACTATCGCACGATGTCGCGAAGGCTGGGGAGGAAACGTCGCAGGCGACGCGACGAATGCGACGAGGTAGAAGGTGAATTGGAGGAGGAAAGCCGAGCGAAGTGCCAGGATGGCGTAAAATTCACGACACCTAGGCATTTGGAACCACGATAGGCGGCCGGAATTCGGAGCAGCTGAAGATCGACGGCTGGATCGCTGGATAATGGCTTTCGAACGAACTCGGCTGGACTCAGTTGTACTCGACAGTTATAGACCTATTGGAACCTGCTTGAGCAACCTAAATCTCCAAGTGAGTCCTTTTTTCCATTAGCTATTGGAAGTATTCCAGTTGATGCTAGCACTGCCATGACTAATATCTCCTCAGCTCATGTTCTGCTCCGTAAACAGAACTTTGAACTTGATCAGGTAACGAAAGAAAGGTTTGGCGCGCGTCTCTGGCTCAGATGGATGCTGCATGCCTTGCTCTTCCGTGACGCTGCCGTTGGAGCCGAGTCTCCCTTTTCGGTAAGTTTCCAGATTTTTTGGGTACTTCATATCTTGCGAGTTTATATGTCGTAAAAGAGACTTGAAGGTAGGTTGGACGCTGCCTCGTTTTTCTGTGATGCTGCTGTCGGGGCCAAGTCTCGTAATTCAGTGAGTATTTCTGTTTTTGTTTGTTTGTTGGTGTGTTTGTTTGTTTTTTCGAAATATTCCAGATCTTCTGAAAAGAGTGCCCATTTTATGTTCCCGTGCAACAATACACACCTACCAGGATCAAGAGTGCAAAATTGCATTCCCCACCACCAAACACTCCCGTGTGGAATACAATCCCGTGTAATTCTACCAGACAAGAGTGCAAATTCCAGATCCACATTACATTCCCCAGCAGCAATTTGCACTCTTGTCTGGTACACCTGATGCCCGTTTGAGTCCCCCCTATTTGGGCTGTGCTCTGGGCTTATAAACGTTTTGAGCATTTTGCCCAGTTCGTTCCATTTCGCCAAGGTGTTGAGGTGCTTCTAAAAAACACAGGTTGTAACTCATTTGTTTTTTCCAAAACCGTTCTGGTGGGCCTGTGTTGTTGTTAGTTCAGGGTTTAGGGTTTATGCTTGTTTCTGGCCAAGAAACAAGAACAAACCGGGTCAGCCTGGTTTGTTTTGCGCCTAAGATTCATACTTTGGCGTTTTCTCGCCCAAATGCAAGTTGATCCGCGTGCCTATAACCTGGATGCAACTGACTGGGAAAAAAAACAGGGGTGCAGAGTTTCTGAAATGGGCAAGGCAAATTCGCGCGCTGTGGTTGGGCATCATGTGTAGAAACATATACCGTGGTCACAGTTCATGATGCATCATGCATGCATGTTTGCTTCGGTTCTGAGACGTCTCAAAACTCAACTGTTAATTATGTGCAGTAGAGCGTGGTCACAGATCAATCCCGTTTTGGTTGCTAATTCTCGTTTAGTCTTGCAGAGAACAGATCCTCATTGCATAAAGCCGGCGGCCCAAATTGTTCATGCTTTTAAAAGTTGACAAGAGGGAGTTTTTCTGGTGTAGGCTTTGGCGAGAGTTCGCGATTTCGTCTAGCTTCGTTTTTTTCGCGAGACCCAGCCAGCCCTCGGTTTTCCCCCTGGTGAGTGAATCTGTCTTCGAAAGTCCCAAATTGCAGGTGCGTGACTTAAAGCAGTGGTATACATTTGGCAGCGCTGTTGGAGTGACTACAGTACCCAAAACCAGTTCGCTCTAGCGAAAGTGAAACAGCTTGGCGAGAGTATTGGCGAAAACTCCGAGCCCTTCCACCACTTGGGGAGACTTGGGTATGCACAAAAGAGATGCACTACTCGTCACCAAACATCAAGTATTGTTGGCAAGTATCAATTAGCTAATTAGCTTCTATCAGTCTACCCCAAGACTCGCACTCTAGAGACGCACTTGGGCCGGCAGACCAGACATCACGGCCACTAAACCATCTCGTGAGTTTGCACAAACTAAAGATTACACAACAGGGAACGACCTCATTCTACCCATTCATCCAGGCCACGACGTTGCATTCGGCGAGCACGTCGTATACTTTTAGTTGGGCGCGCCACCGAACATTCCGCGGGCCCGTCGACGAGCATTCGGCGAAATCGCTTTCCATATCGCCTTGAAAAGCATTGCGCGGCCCGCAGAACTGCACTTGTCGAGGCCGCCATAACCTTTCTTAGAGCGGTCCGGCGAGATATCCATTTACCCTATCGCCGGGCCCGCATGAAAACCATTCGCCGGTCTGTTGAATTGCATTTCGCTAGCTCGCCGTCAACTTTTCTGAGATCCTCCCAGCGAGCAATCCGCTGCGTGCTCTGAGATGTAGACGTGTCTCTTTGCATACCACCGTCCCTTCCGCCCCACTCCCTACTCCTCCCCTTCCTCACGCGCGCACTCACTCCTCCAGCGCTCACTCCTCCAGCGCACACTCACTCCCCCAGCGCGCATTCGCTCCCACCGCGTGCCCCATTTCCCCCCCCGCGCGCACTCGCTCCCACTGCATCCCTACTCCCATCTCCTCTCCCCCACTGCATCCCTTCTCCCATCTCCTCTCCCCCACTGCATCCTTACTCCCATCTCCTCTCCCCCACTGCATCCCTACTCCCATCTCCTCTCCCCCACTGCATCCCTACTCCCATCTCCTCTTCCCCACTGCATCCCTTCTCCCATCTCCTCTCCCCCACTGCATCCCTACTCCCATCTCCTCCCCCCCGCTGCATCCCTTCTCCCATCTCCTCTCCCCCACTGCATCCCTTCTCCCATCTCCTCTCCCCCACTGCATCCCTTCTCCCATCTCCTCTCCCCCACTGCATCCCTACTCCCATCTCCTCTCCCCCACTGCATCCCTACTCCCATCTCCTCTCCCCCACTGCATCCCTTCTCCCATCTCCTCTCCCCCACTGCATCCCTACTCCCATCTCCTCTCCCCCACTGCATCCCTTCTCCCATCTCCTCTCCCCCACTGCATCCCTTCTCCCATCTCCTCTCCCCCACTGCATCCCTACTCCCATCTCCTCTCCCCCACTGCATCCCTACTCCCATCTCCTCTCCCCCACTGCATCCCTACTCCCATCTGCTCTCCCCCACTGCATCCCTACTCCCATCTCCTCTCCCCCACTGCATCCCTACTCCCATCTCCTCTCCCCCACTGCATCCCTTCTCCCATCTCCTCTCCCCCACTGCATCCCACCTACTCATCCCCCACCCGCTGCTCGCCTCACCCGCTGCTCTGCCTCACCCCATCTCTACCTCACCCCATCTCTACCTCACCCCATCTCTGCCTCACCCCATCTCTACCTCACCCCATCTCTGCCTCACCCCATCTCTGCCTCACCCCATCTCTGCCTCACCCCATCTCTACCTCACCCCATCTCTGCCTCACCCCATCTCTGCCTCGCCCCATCTCTGCCTCACCCCATCTCTGCCTCATCCCATCTCTGCCTCGCCCCATCTCTGCCTCGCCCCATCTCTGCCTCGCCCCATCTCTGCCTCACCCCATCTCTACCTCACCCCATCTCTACCTCACCCCATCTCTGCCTCACCCCATCTCTACCTCACCCCATCTCTGCCTCACCCCATCTCTGCCTCACCCCATCTCTGCCTCACCCCATCTCTACCTCACCCCATCTCTGCCTCACCCTATCTCTGCCTCGCCCCATCTCTGCCTCACCCCATCTCTGCCTCATCCCATCTCTGCCTCGCCCCATCTCTGCCTCGCCCCATCTCTGCCTCGCCCCATCTCTGCCTCACCCCATCTCTACCTCACCCCATCTCTACCTCACCCCATCTCTGCCTCACCCCATCTCTACCTCACCCCATCTCTGCCTCACCCCATCTCTGCCTCACCCCATCTCTGCCTCACCCCATCTCTACCTCACCCCATCTCTGCCTCACCCCATCTCTGCCTCGCCCCATCTCTGCCTCACCCCATCTCTGCCTCATCCCATCTCTGCCTCGCCCCATCTCTGCCTCGCCCCATCTCTGCCTCGCCCCATCTCTGCCTCACCCCATCTCTGCCTCCTCCAATGACTGGTCCGCCTGGCATGGACCAAAAGCTTGTGGTGACCAGGAAAGGCGACGTGCTGCGTGAACCCTTTCCTCGCTCGCCTATCCTCCCTATCGCCTGCCAGCATCGTCACATTTCCTGCGTCGCCTATAATTACAACATGGATGTACACTTGACCCAACGTACATTGCTTAGTGTGCATGAATTGCCTCTGTGCCTTTACTTGTAACCAAACTGCTTTGATTACATACTGTGTTATGGTAGGGAACATGCCAAGGTTACAAAACACCGTGGCCAATAACCCGTTGGTAAAAAATACCGCAACATGCTTTTGATGGCATGATGTGTTGGGTCAGTAAGAAATACATAGAAGGGGAGGAGAGAGGGTGTCTATGTGCTAATGTTCAAGGAAGGTTGGATGCTTGGATCATAAACAGACGGGCTGAGCTACCCAGAGGCTTGAAGATGCTTTGCTCGTGGCCGATGCCACGCTCCCCTGCCTTTCCCATTGAAATCGTAGGAAGCGCAGTCAGGAAGGCACCCCACCTGCAACACAAGCACAGAGGTAGAGCAAGGGAATGCAATGTGAGAGCTGTATGAGATGAGCATGAAACTAGTGTGGGATGTAGTGGAAAGAGGTGGCTTTGATGTGTGGGGAGTGATGCATGTTGTAGGATGTGCGGAGGGGGAGGCACCTCACCTACAAGAGAAGCACAATTTGAGAGAGTATCGCCATGGGAACAAGAGTGGGCTGTATCAGGAGTAAACGCATGAATGTAGCTTAAATTCAAGTAAGAAAAGAACACGGGAGTGTGGGGGACCAAACATGGGAGAATATGAGTGTGGGAGACCTGGAGGGGCAGGTTGTGAGCAGAGCGCCCTTGGTAGGGGAGGGTGAAATAAGGGGTAGGGGAGGGAAGGGAGAAGAATGCCCCTGGTAGGGGGAGGGGAGATGAGATGGGAGTATGTGGGTGAGGTGGGGGATGGAAGGAGGCAAAATGGGACGGAGGGGTGGCAGTGGGTTGGAAGGCGGATGGAGGGGAGCTTAGGGAGAGGCTGGATAGGGAGGGTAAATGCGAGCATGGTGACATGAGATGAGGCTGAATAAGAATGGAGGCGATAGGAGGCGTGAATGGGAGACGGGAAGGCAGGGAAAGGTGATGGGGGGCGTGAATGGGAGATGGGAAGGCAGGGAAAGGTGATGGGAGGCGTGAATGGGAGATGGGAAGGCAGGGAAAGGTGATGGGAGGCGTGAATGGGAGATGGGAAGGCAGGGAAAGGTGATGGGAGGCGTGAATGGGAAATGGGGAAGGCGGAACAAGGAGAAGGGAAGGCGGGATGGGAGAATAAGAGGCGGGACGAGGAGAGAAGGTAGGGACGGGATAGACAGGTGATTGCAAGGAGGGATGAGAGGGAAGGGAGGGAAGGGAGAGACGGGGGAGAAGGGAGGGGTTGGTGGGAAAGGAGGGAACGGAGGGAAGGGAGAGACGGGAGGGAAGGTCGAGAAGGGAGGGAAGGGAGGCACGAGTGAAGGGAGGGAAGGGAGAGGAGGGAGGGAAGGGAGGGAAGGGGATTCGGGCGACGGAAAGAGGAATAGGGAGGCGGGAAGGGGAGTCGGGCGGCGGGAAATGGGAGTCGGGCGGCGGGAAGGCGCTTTGGCCGACGGGAAAGAGGAAGCGGGCGGCGTGAACGGGAATCTGGCGGCGGGAACGGAAATCCGGCGGCGCGACAGGGGGATCGAACGGCGGGAAAGGGCGGTAGGGCGGCGGGAAATGGGATTCCGGGCGCGAAAAGGGAATCGGGCGACGGGAAAGGAAGCGGGCAGCGGAAAGGGGATATTGGGAGGAGCACGAGGGCCGCGGTGGCATGAGGAGGCCGCGTGGGGCGGCGAGGCGACGCCGCGAGCGGATTTACGGTGAGGCGACACCGCGACGGGATTTGAGGCGAGACTACAAAGCAGCAAGTTGCGGTAGGACGAGACCGTAAAGTTGGCTCGATGCGAAGGCGATTTGCGGCGAGCGGATTATGCAATACGGTTGCCCCCCCTGGCTGCGTGGGGAGGCAACGAGATATATACTGAAAGTGCGGCGACGCCGCGACGACCAAACGAATGAATGCTTATACGGCGACGAAATCTCCGGCGCATGACCTAAGCCTAAGAGACGCACTTCAATGGTGAAGGAAATCATTCTAGTAGTGCACGCTAGGAACACTACTGGAGTGAGCTGCTGCGGGGGGGAAATGAATCAGTATACTTTTGACAGTCATAAACTTATGGCATTCGAAAGAGCTGGGGGGGGTTGGAGGCTGCTCGTTGTTTCTCGAGAGAGAGGGTGGGCTTGTAATTCGGTAACCACCGTGTACCATTTATAAACCTTTGGCACTGGCCCTGCCAAATGTATACTGCTGCTTTAAAAAGGCTTGGACACTCAACTTCGTCAAGTTTTAAAAACTTGACCCTCGCGGTCCGCAATTTCAGACGCGGGCCTTAATCCCTCCAAGTGTCATGAAATTTGCAAAACTCTCATTGGGAAGGTTTGCTCCAAACCACATGAGGCCGTAATTGCGCACAAAAACTTAGGGCGCGTGTACTTATTGAATTTGAAAGTTCATGTTTTTGGTTCACTTTCTCCAACTGAACTTCGGTCGTCCTGTGGTCGACCATCTCGACTTTTGGTGGTCGGGGAGCAGCGTCAACAAGCCCGAGTCGCGCATGGAACAACAAAATTCGACTATCAAAGTTCAGCTTAATACAGTAATTTCCGAGTCGCGCTAAGGTTTCTTAGGCTACCTGGTTTCGCAGTGTAGTTCGTCACCTTATCCGGTTTGAACTAAGACACACGATGTCCTGGCGAGCTGTCTGGCGAGATTCGCGAACAAAGCTACCAGCAGAAGTTCAACAATTTTCCCAAACTCTACAGAAAAAGGCACGCGCCCTTACATGTATGCTGGAAAAGTGACTGAAACATTGGTGATGGAATCGCATCTTGAATACGCCCTTACGGACTCGAAAACTGAGATTGATTTCGCGATATTCGCGAACAGAATCGCATCATTGATTTTCTAAATAACGGCCCTCTATGTCATTCCACACCTAACCATGCTGTATTCATCCATGATACGTCTAACCGTGCACAACCTGTATGACTTCAAACCTGAGGCCTTGCTCAGACACATTTATTGGTAGCACATACTTAGTTGTAGGTCGCTCATCCGTCATGTGCGGATTGCTCTAGGATCAGGCAACACCTCCAGCTGTCCGTACTTTTCGGAGATTAGACGAGGCCTCCAGCAATGCCGCGCCTTTTTTTTACGTCGGCCACAAAGGAATGCCAAGGCCGTTTCCGGCAGAAACGGAATTCAGGTTATCGTAGTATAACTAGCCAAGTCGAGTCAGAACGTGCCAGATTCCTTCAAACGCTACCTAAGCACTTCTTTCATGCTGAAAACAGCATACCGCCCTACGTTCAGCATCTGCACGATCGTGCTTCATGAAGCGTTTTGAGAGGATGCTTCGCAAGAGCGAGAGTCGCTAATCTTGCCAATTTTGGTTGTGAGACACTGCGGCAGTGCCTTTTACATAGGTTTGACTCAATTCAACCGTGTCCGCTGGATGAAACCCTGAGCATTAAGGATTCTCTTCAATGGCGCGCTGCTTCATCTGCACTGGCAGTAATTCCAGAGGCACAGCACAGTCAGTTTGCCCAAATTGTTTGAATGTTTCTTCAACGATTAGGAAGTTGAAGAGGAAAATCGAGGAGTTGGAGGAAGTAAAGAGTAAAGCTGAGGACCTGAAGTTGTTTGCAGAAAGGTTCAAAGGCATGTTGGATGGGTCGTTTTCTGACATATCGTTGGTGACGAATGATGGGAAAGAGATTCGTGCTCACCGTTGCGTTCTTGCTGCATGGTGAGCTTGCTCTCCGTCTCTTTGTTTGTCTTTTCCTTTCACAACGCACACTTTTGCAAAGCACGGTTTTTTTTGTTATTTCTTGCTGTGTATTGTCATGTTCGCCTTCTGGAAAAGAAAAAAAAAAAAGGAATCTGTGTTCACTTCTGTGTTCCCTCTTTGCAGGTCTCCTGTCTTCTCAAGGATGTTTGGTGGCGGATTTCAAGAAGAGAAGAGTAAATCTGTTCAGATTCAAGATATGGATCATTCTACTTTGAAACTCCTACTTACTTTTATGTACAGAGGAGATGTGGACCTACCAGGTGAAACAATTAAGGTAACATACTACTAACAAAGCACATTTGCAGTCGTCTTTGGCTGGCTTCATACTGCTCCCATTCCTGCCAATGTTCAATTTAGGGACTGGAGCAGGGCTGATTTTATCAGACTAAAATGGTCTGATTGTCTGATCTGACAGACTATTTTTCAATGGTTCCTGATTTTCCAGACTTGGTGATTTTCCAATAATGAGCACCTCAGAGTTGTGGTTTTCCGAATACTGAGAATTTCAGAGTATTGCCTATGCCAATAATGATCCCTCAGACTAAGTAGCGTACGGATCCTGGAAACCGGATATGTACGTACTAGGAAGCTTCCGCAACGTCACATGTTGCCGTGCCATCATGACAATCTCCTTGCTGTCACATGCGAAATCTGAACTTGGCAAATTTGCCACCCCTTGACCGACTCGGTGCCCCCTGTGCCACGCTGCACGTGGCAACCGTGATATCTCTGCAACGCTGTGTCAGCGGGAAAGCTGCACCGTGCCATCACTACGCGCTCTGTCCTGCACGGTACAGCACTGCAGAGGTGACGGGCATGGCGGCTCGAGACCAACGGCAACAGCCAGCCACCCATCAATTGGTTTGAGGACCACGGGGTCCTTCTTCTTCATAGCTCCCTTCACCACGCTGACTATGTTTCCTCGGCTGGCTCTCCCAGCAGTGTTCCAGTTAGTGCTCGAGTGACTCCTCCCATGACGGACCAAGAACGCGACCGGCCCGATTCACCTGATGCTGACCACCCTACTACCAAGGAGGGTGTGGGTAGGTCGGGGCTAGACTGCCTACGCCCCGCAGCAACGGCGGTCATACACGATACTGTTCCTGCCACCACGCCTGCCTCCCCTACGCCAACTCCAATAGTCTTAGCGCCCGCCATAGCGTCGTCTAGTAAGGGCCCCATCCCACTCACCGTGCGCACTGCATCTACCGTTCGGTACAGCGTGCCGTCAGTCACCAAATCAGTTGCGCAGAAGCGTAGTACCCAGAAATGGGTTCAGAGCACGATGGTTACTGGCGGTAGATTCCGCAAACCATCTCCACCCCCTTCAGCGCCGGCTGTGGCCACGCCCGACAAGCCACCTCCTCCTAAGTTGTCTAAGAAGGAGGAGATTGAGCAGAAGTGGCTTCTGGCTGAGGCGAATTACCACTCGAAGTGGCTTCCGTTTTTCCCATGGCTTCTGCTTGTGCGTGCCCAGGATGGGCATCCCTCGCTCAAGTGCTGCATCTGCCGTGCCTTTGGCAAGGAGACCACCAAGTATTCAGGCCCTGGCGACGGAGCGCGCGACTTACAAACGCAGACGATGCGGATACACGAGCACTCCAACGTCCACAAAGAGGCAGTGGAGCGGCAGCTGGAGATCGAAGAGTCGCTGGACGGCAAGCAGAAGAAGATCGACGATTTCACAACGAGGGACGTGGAAGGGCGGAGGGTGATTCGCCTTCTGCGTGCCACTGAGTTCATCTGTAAGGTCGATGCTCCAATCTCGATGTTCGCTCGCCTCCTACGTTTCATGTCTGAGCAGGACACGCCGGACATTCCAAGGCAGGCGTACGGCGTGTATCTTACTCGGTGAGTACCGCGTGTGCCTTCGAGTTAATCAAGTACTCACTACTTCAAATACTAACGCATTTATGTGGCACTGTTTCCATGCAGTTACGGGTTCCAAGAGATGGTGCACTGCCTTTCGTCTCCGCTTCTCTCAACTCAGCTGCGACACATCCAGAGCTCTCCGTTTTTGGGCATCAGCTGCGACGAGAGCACGGATCGCACGCGAGGGAAACACCTCATCATCTACTTAACGTTCCTTCGCTTCAACCGGCCCGTTACTGAGTTCTTTGCACACCTACCTGTTGAGAAGGGTGACGCGGCGTCCCTGCTCTCAGTCATCATGAGTCATCTGCAGACTGTCGGAGTGGACATCAACCGCATCTGCGCTATCAGCACCGACGGTGCATCGGTGATGGTTGGGTGTGACAACGGCCTGGTCCCTCGTCTACGGGAGTACATCCCTCACCTGATCTCCTCACATTGTATCGCGCACAGGTTAGTTGGTTCCACGGTTATCTATATTGCCCATGAACATGTACCTTGTACGCTTTACTAACCGATTACCTCTTTTGAATGTGCTTGTGCAGGGAGGCGTTAGCAGTTAAGGACGCTGCCCTTGCATGCCCAGATCTGGACATGATTGACAGAGTGATTCGGGCTGTGGCATCTCTACTGACGAACTCCAGCAACGTCAGCCAGCGCTTTCAGTACCTGCAGCGCACGATTCACAAAACCAACCTTGAAGTTCAAGGCATCCACGCGGTCAGGTGGCTATCGCGCGGTGTGGCTGTCCGTCGTTTCTGCAAGGTCCTCGGTGCATCGATCGTGCTCTTGCATGAGAGCAAGCACAAGTTGTACGAGACCGTCACCTCGTATAAGTTTCAGTTCTGCCTTTTCTTTCTTGCAGATGTGCTTGGCATCATGAACGAGCTCAACGTGAAGTTTCAGAAGCGTGAGGTAAGGTTGACCGCATTGTTCCCTTGTATCCTAAACCACCTCTGTTCTAAACCGTTACTAACATGTCTTGCACACCTCCCCATCCGAATCAGGTCGACGTGACCGAGATCGCCAAGGACATTGACGAGGCCACCGGGGACTTGCGCAGGCGCTACCTGGAGTGCGAGGACTTGTTGGGCGGCGGAGAAAGCCCGGCACTGTCTGAGTTCCTGACATTGCACGGGAAGGTTCCGAAGAAGAAGGTGAAGGTGCGCGGAGTTGACAGCGAAGGTGAAGCAGTGACGCACAAGTACAAGCTTCATGAGAGGAAGATTAAGGGGCACGCTTACGGCAGCACGTACACGGAGTGCGCGAAGCTGTGCACGAAATTCGCTCAAGAGTGTGTGAACCGGCTGAACTTCCGCCTTGCTGATCTACGCAAGCTAGCACCAACGAAGCTCTTTCGAGCAGCCAAGTGGCCCAAGCCTCGGCAGCAGCGCGACCGCAAGACGCGAGAGTACCTACACGGATGCGCTGCTATCTTCGACAACAAGCTCCCTGGCTTCGACCTGCGAGCAGCCGAGATGGAGCTTGGCTCGTGGGCTCCAATCATGGCGGCGCACCACGAGGATGAGGGGTTTTTTCAAGGGCTGAAGAATTTCATGGGTGTAGCTGAGTCCGCCAGGTATGTAATACGATGTGGCGGGGCTAGCTGTGTTTCTCTCACGCAATTGTGACATTCTGCTAACCGGTATGTTAATGCTCGTGTGTGATATTTTCAGGCGCTGGCCCAACATCATGCGGCTGTGGCAAGCCGCTGCCGTGATGCCGCTGTCAACCGTTGAATGCGAGCGTGGATTCTCACGCCAGAACGTCATCAAGACCTGGGTGAGAGGCTCTTTAGGCAACGCGCGCCTGGCGGAGCTGATGACGATTTCCCTACTTGACTACGAGATCGACTGGAACGCGGCCCTCGCCAAATGGCGTGAGGAGAAGCCAAGGCGCCCTGCCAAGACTCCAACCTTCGCTGCAGCAGAGAGGAAGCGCAAGGGGAAGGAGCTGGCGGACGACCAGGAACGTGAGAGGGTTGTGCGCGGGCTGGAGTGGGATCGTGATGAGTCGGATGCGGACGACGATGAGGAGGAGGCCTATGAGGAGGAGGAGGACCAGGAGCTGGACGACGACCCTTTCCGCGAGGAGGATGAGGAGGAGGAGGATGTGGAGGAGATAGGCATGGATCAGCCTGAGTGAGACCTAAGATTATTTGTAGCTGTAGGTAGGTAGGTAGGTGATTGCTGTAGGTAGGTGATAGCTGTAGGTAGGAGGAAGGAAGGATGCATCTGATCTGAGACTCAATGGATGATTGCCATGCCAGGACATTTTAACTTAGTTTTATTTAAGTCTGATTTTAGAATTTGAATAATGACCACCTCAGACTAAACCCTGAACCAATCCTGTGAAATCAGACTCAAGGAAGTTGGGGAAAATGTGCTTCAGACTAGACTGGAATTTTTTTTACCTGCTCTCAGAGTAGGTTTTTTTGAAACGTCAGCTCTGGACTGGAGCTCCTAGTTGCTGCTGACAAATATGGAGTTCAGGAACTCAAGCAACGCCTGGATAAGGATCTATGTGGAGAACTCAATGACGACACTGCTTTCGAATGCTTGAAGGTCGCGGATATGCACAGTGCAACATTTCTACGAGAAGCTTCTTCTAAGTACATAGTGAATATGAACCCCGAAATGAGTATGATTCACCTCAAGGTGCGTCTTTTCTTCTGAAACGGCTCAGCACTCCAACTGAAAAATACTCTCCTGATAAATGTTGATTGTTTTATCTCCTTGCCTGTGGTGTGTGAAATGTTTGCAGCGTATGCTGCTAGGGGATAACAATATGGACAGAGAGCTGGCAGTGGGTTTGGTAGAAAACCTGTGGTCAAAAAGGGTTTGAGGGTTGCACAGGCTTTGCAGTACCGTATCTCTTGGACACGGTATCAGGGTAGGGGTCCCAACATTCCAGCATGTTTTTGCCAATCTTACAGACTTGTATTAAGTTTTACCAGTACCTTATCAGCAAAAGAAACCACTAGACAGTAAATTACCAGCCTGTTATGAAACAGTAATCTGGGAACTATTCGATAAATGTACACCTAAGTGAGAATGTTATATCCGTGTATCGAGAACCGCGCCCACCGACATATTTTTGTCATCGCGCCCATTCTGAAGTAGTTGAGGCCTCAGCTCAACGCCACTTTGGTTAAGAAGATGGGTTACGTTCAAGAGCGGTAACAGAACATCTACAGCGGTTCGCTAGGGTATGGAGCACAATGAGCTCTCTGCAATCCCGAGACTCCACTTACTGCTGAGCACGGGCAGTTTAGTACGATATTGTGCAATCGAAAGCGGTATACAAGCTTATCTCTTTGAACCGCTATGCACCAGTCTGGACCTGTTTACATCGAGCCGTAAACCAACTTTTAGGATCCTCCCTCAATACTACACCCACATGATGGAGTTCTGAGTTTTCCGATTTTCATTCCATTGTCCATGGCTGAGCGCGATAATCGGACGCGTTTAGAAGGCATCAGGAGGTTTTCTCTTCTCCCCGTTAGCACCGGTGGTTCGCAACTGGGTCCGCACGTGCTTTTGTGAATTGTCCAAGTGCTCTCGGGTCCAAAGGCAAGTTATGATAATGGGTTCCACGTGGCACACATCGGGTCGTCCTAGAGTACCTTGGCGTGATTTGCCGCGTCGTGCCACTCTCCTCGTCACAGTCGCTATTCTTGCAGTCGCTAGCGTCGCATTCGCAAGTCTCGTAGCCGCCGTGTCCTCGCAGGGTGCGGAGCAAGTACCGCATGCATCTGAAAGGCTTTCAACAACGTCGCAGCTTCGTGACGATGCGACGCCTGTACGACGATCCGAACGACGTTCTTTGGAGACCATTTTGCGTGGAGTCGCACAAGAAGAGCCTGTCGATCCCGTCGCACGAAGCGGCGAAGAAATTGCGGGGTTAGGTCGTCGCAGATTGCGTGAGATCCGGCGCCTCGAGCAGCCAATTAAACGCAACCAGCTGGCACCGATTAGCCTGAGTTTCTTCCCGGAAGTTTCTGGAATAGACGTTATAGGCGATGAGGAGGTGGGAGTCAAGGGAGGGAAGACGCGGAGGGAGCAGGTGGCGTTGCCGAATTTGGGGTGTAAAGGCGCAATTTGCCCTGAATTTTCCGAGTGCGGGCAGGGCATACAGACATGCTGGAACCCAGATTTCGTGGACGGGCAGGTGAATGATAATGGGGAGAACAGGGCAGCTAAAAGGAAGCTCTTGGGCTCGAAAAGGTGGTCAGCTCTGGATTCAGAAACCAAAGCAACTTTTCAAACAAAAACTTTCAGCTGCCCGGCGTTCAAGCCTTGGGAGTGTATGCAAGGCATGATTATTCTCCCCAACTGCTCAACTGCTGTTGCCTCAGATGATAGCTTGCAAGCATGGGAACGGGGAGAGGAGGAGGGGGGACAGGAGGGGGAAGAAGGGGAAGGGGATGGTGAAGAGGAGGAGGAGGCGGAGGAGGTGGTTGGGGAAAAGGGGGAGGGGGTGGGGAAGGGGGTGCGGTATGGGGGGGGGAGGGGGTGGGCGGGGCGGGTGGTGGAGTTGAGGGGCGTGTGGGTGGACGGGCAGGGGCGGGTCTTCAACGCCTCTCACCTCTTCTGGCCGGGCGGGTGCGGCAGGAGGCGGGCGCTCAGTGAGGTGAGATGCAGTTCAATGCGGTAAGATGCGGTTTGGTGTGGTGAGGTCCGGTTAACTGCAGTGAGACGAGGTAAGTGGGAGATGGGATGTCGTCCATTGGGGCAGGCCGGGTCTTCAACGCCTCTCACCTCTTCTGGCCGGGCGGATGCAGCAGAAGGAAGTGAGATGCGGTTGAATGCGGTGATATGTGGTTCTGTGCGGTAATTTGCAGTTCCATTCCCTTGCAATCAGCTTACTCTTCCCCGTTCCCTCCCTCCTACATGCCTGTTCTCATTCCCATTCCCCCCTCCATCCCAATTTTTACCTTACCCATCTGTGCGTAATGTGTGTGCTCATGTGCTTCAACTGCATGCATGTGTACTGTGCATGCATGTGTGCTGTGCATGCATTTATGTATGAATGTATGTGCGTGGTTATGCATGTGTGACTGGATGTATGATTTCATGTTCATGTGTGATTGCATGAGTGATTGCATGTGTGATCACATGTGTGATTGCACACCAGTTCAGCCCTTCACATACCCAGCATCAACACCAGTCGTAGAACATCCTCTCGCCATCAACCTTGCCGTCCCTCCTCCCACTGATTCCTCCTCCCCCTCCTCCTCCTCTTCTCTCCCCCACGCCCCTCTCGTCCATCACCTAGTGCATCACCTCCCGCTCTTCCTCCCCCTCTCCTCTCTCCTCCCTCAACTCATGGCTGAAGGGGCTCGATTCCTCGTGCAGGATCGCAAGGTGAGCCGAGCATGCCTCGCAAGGTGAGACGAGCACAACCCCGCTCCCATCCCATCTCCCCCTCTCTCCCCCCCCCCCCCTCCCTCCCCACCTTCCCCTCTTCCTCCCCCTCGCTCCTCTCCTCCCTCAACTAATGGCTGAAGGGGCCCGATTCCTCGTGCAAGATCACAAGGTGAGCCGAGCATGCCTCTTCTCTCCTCTCTCCTCCACTTCACTCTTCTTCTCCCCCCCACGCCCCTCTCATCCACCACCTAGATGCCTCCTTACCTTGCTGTCCTTTGTCCTTCCGTCGCTTCTCAAAACACCCTTCTTCCACACCACCTTAATCACCTTCCACCCCACCCCACACCCCACCACCTTCCACCGCACCCCACCAGTGGCTGCACATGCTAGCGCCCCACTTCCTGGGGAGTCATCCACTCCAGGCCACGCTGCTGCCTCAGCCAGACGAGCCAACCCACCTGCACTTCGCCCACAGATTGATTCTGGTAAGTCAGATGCATGGGTTGATCTCACGTCTTTTTATCTCCCCCACCCTTCTCCCCTTTCCTTCTCGTCCTCCCTCTCTCCCGCACTCTTCCCTGCCATCCCCCTTTCCCTCTCCACACCCCATCCCCCCCTCTTCTCTCTTCCCCCCTACCGTCCCCCCAGCCCTGCTTCCAGCATTGCACCCGCCCCCTCCCCACTTCTCCTCTCCTCCATTCAAAACATGCTCCCTTTTGAGTCGACTCAAAAGAAGACTCCTCTCCTCCCTTCACAACATGCTCCCTCTCCCCTTCCCTCTCCCTCTCCCCTTCCCTCTCCTTCTCCCCTTTCCCCCTGGTCCCCTCCCTTCCCCCGACCCCTCTACCCCCCACCCTTCTCCACCCCCACCCCCCCTCTCCCCTCTCCCCCCCACACAGCCCTGCTTCCAGCACTGCACCCGCCCCTCCCCCGCGCTCCTCTCCTCGCTGCGCTCACACCAACTCCTCCCCCCCAGCGGTCTCCCCCTCTTCCACGCCAACTGGACAGTCAGGCGCCAAGTTACCAGCTGGGTCCAGTTTTGAGTCGACTCAAAAATCGCTCAGGCTCCAAGTTACCAAATGGGTCTTGACCGGCAGTGCTGATCGTCACCTCTGCAGAAAAGGTTTCTCAGTCCGTCACCTCCCCCTTTCTCTTCCCTCTCCCTTCCCCCTCTTCCACCGTCCGCTATCTTCCCCCCTTTCTCCCCCTTCCCCCCCTCCCTTCCCCCCACATCCCCACCAGCCCTGCTTCCAGCACTGCACCCGCCCCTCCCCTGCGCTCCTCTCCTCGCTGCGCTCACACCACCTTCTCCCCCCCGCGGGCCTCCCCCTCTTCCACGCCAACTGGACGCTCCGCCGCCCGCCACCTGTCCCGCTCCCGCCACCTGGTGTAGTCGTCTCCGCTGACGTGGCAGCTGACGTGGCTGCTGACGTGGCTGCTGACGTGGCGTCTGTTGCAGAAGGGGTGGCTGGTGACGTGGAAGGGGACGGATTTGCGGGGGTGAGGAGGATGGTTGGGGAGGACTGGGTGGTTGTGGTGGCGGTGCCACCTGGCGCGATGCTATTGGATAGAATGGAGGAGATGGTGGATGAGATGATCCAAGACAACTGGTGGCACGGCCGGGTGGTTTACTTTCGAGGAGGCATGGGCGTGCAGGAAGGTGAGTGAGGGAAGGGAGAGTAGGTGATTAAGGGGGTATAAACAGGAAAGGTTGAAAGTGAAAGGCCGAGTGGTGCTCTTCCAAGGAGGCATGGGCGTGCAGGAAGGTGAGCGAGGGAGGGTTGGGACCGTTGGGAGGGTTGGGACCGTTGGGAGGATTGGAGTGAAGTGAAGAAAGGGAGAGGCGAATGGGTTAGGGGAGGAAGGAGATGGTGGATGGAATAATCCAAGGTAGTTGGTGGCACGGCCGGGTGTTTGAAGAAGTGTTTTGAGACGTCTCAAAACACTTCTTCAAACACGAGAAAGGAGATGGTGGATGGAATAATCCAAGATAGTTGGTGGCACAGCCGGGTGGTGTTCTTCCGAGGGGGGATGGGCGTGCAGCAAGGTGAGACGGGGAGGTGCAGAGGGGATGCAGCAAGGTGAGACGGGGAGGTGCAGAGGGGATGCTGCAAGGCGAGACGGGGAGGTGCAGAGGGGATGCAGCAAGGTGAGACGGGGAGGTGCAGAGGGGATGCAGCAAGGTGAGACGGGGAGGTGCAGTGGGGATGCAGCAAGTTCCAAGTATTCGAGAGTCGATATGAGTGAAGCAAGAAGGACGGGGCTGGGTATGTGTGGGTGGTGCACCTTTGAAAGGGGGGTGATGACAGATGCTGAGGGAGCAAGGATTGTAGGGAGGGACATGTGTGAGTAGGAGGGAAATTGAATCATTTCGATCCATAGTTACTACCATAATTTCTTCCGAGGAGGCATGGGCGTGCAGGAAGGTGAGCGAGGAAGCTGGAAAGAATCTGAGAGTGGTCTTTTTTCTTCATACCGGAAAAGAGAAACCGTGAAAGAAGGGGATGAAAGAAGAAGGGGGTCGGGTATGTGCGTGCGCGGATGCTGTGTGTGGGTGTGGTGTGCGTGGGTTGCGTGTGCTGTGCAGGATGCTGTTGTTCACGAAATATATATATATATATATATATATATATATATATATCACTGTCTTATATTTGAGGGGCTGGAAGGGGCTGTGAGGGGCGTTGGGGGAATAGGGGGGTCTTGGGGGCGCCTTGGGGGGGTTTTGTGTGCGGGATGCTGTTGGGCGCCGTGCCATAACAATATCCCAGTCTTTATGGCCCATCCCTCCACTTGCCTCCAGCCACAAACCCCTTGAATTATTGTGAACAACAGCCCGAGCTCTTCTCCTTTGCACTTTCCTTATCGCCGTACCAACCAACCAACTAAAACACCAAACTTCGTTTTCATCCTTCCCTCATCCTACCTCCTCCCAACCGCTCCCACCCTTCCCCCCCCAACAGCCAGGTCTCTCTTCTCGCGCACGCTGCTCCTCATCGCGCCACCAGGGGAGGCTCTGGACTTCATTCTCTTCATGCCGCCTGCTGCTGTCGTGCTCGAGATTCAACCCTCCTCCCATCCTACCTCCTCCCACCGCGCTCTCTCTCACTCCCTCTCCCTCCGCCACCACACTCTCTTCTGCAAATACCGGAACCTTCCCGGGCAGCCCGAAAAACTTCTCTGCGACCGCCTCGCACTGACGCTCCTCATGCAGCTTCTTTCCACCGAAGTTTTCTTCAGCCCGGCGCTGCCCGGAGGCAGCCAAGCAGAACGGGCAGCCCTGCGAACAAATTCCATCCCAGGATCCCTTATCCACGGGCAGCAGCAGGTGAAAAACTTCAAAAACTGGGCGGCGTGCATTGGCAACCGAGGCAAGTGGGTCGGAAACCCGAAACCCCGCACCCTCCCTTGGGATTACCGCGGGGTGAGCAACATGTGCGATAGAAGATACCTTGAATCACACCCTACGGGCATGGCATATGCTAAGTATGCAGATGCTTATGCCATGAGTCCGGGAGCGACTGAGGCGGGGTGGACGGTGCGGGAGGGGGTGAAGTACGAGTGGGTGGTTGGGCCCTCCACATGCCCGGCGCCTCAAGTGCCCGAGGAGATTAAAGCCTTTGAACTAACGGCTAAGGCACGACTTGAAAAGGCTCGGTTAGAGCAGGATGGAACGGTGGAAGCAAGAAGAGCAGCCGAAGCAGCGGCAGCAGCAGCGGCGGTCGACCTATCTAACCCCTTTCTGCCGTTCAACGCGTCAGTGTTCTGCGAGCGGGTGGGGCGGGGCAGGCGAATACTGGTGGTGGGGGACTCGAAGCAGTATCAGATGGTGGAGTCGTTTCTGAACCTGATGGCGTGGGACAGGAAGAAGCCAGCATGGGAGATGGTGAAACTGGAGGATCACCCAAAGCGGTGTGTGGACGTGCTGGGAGGGGACCCTGAGAAGATGGCTCACGAGTTTTGCCAGTGGTGAGTGGCCTCGCCTTACAGTGAGTAAATCGCTTTATAGTGAGTCACCTTATAGTGAGTCGCCTTATAGTGAGTCACCTTACAGTGAGTCGCCTTATAGTGAGTCATCTTATAGTGAGTCGCCTTGTAGTGAGTCGTTTTTTAACCTGATGGCGTGAGATAGGAAGAAGTCTGCATGAGAGATGGTTATGTTGGAGGATCATTCCAAACGATGTGTGAATGTGCTGGGAGGGGACCCTGAGAAGATGGCGTATCAGCCTTGGAGGGAGAATTATGCGCCATCTTCTCAAGGTCCCCCTCGCAGCATATCCACACATGGCTTCAAATGATTTTTCAACTTAACCAACTCCGATGTAAGCTTCCTCCTGTCCCACACCATCAGGTTGACCTCTCCTCCTCTTCCCCTTTCCCCTCTCCTTCCACTCACACACTGCAGGTATAGTTTCAACTCGTCATCCTGCCTGGGTCTCAAGATAGACTACTGTCGCAACGACCACACCCATTTCATCTCCCCCTCTATTCTCGTTTCCCTCCCCTCCCCTCCCTTCACCCCCCCCCCCACAATAGTACACCTTCAGCTCCTCAGTCCGCCCGGGCTCAGGATAGACTACATTCACCACGACCGCACCTCATTCATCTCCCTTTCGACTCTCCTCCCTATCTCCCCTTCCCCCAACGCACACACATCGCAGGTACACCTTCAACTCCTCGGTCTGTACGGGCCTAAGGGTAGACTACCTTCGCAACGACCACATCTCCATTTTCGATTCACGGGGACCAAATTTCGACCGTATGCCCTGGGCTCAACCGGGTGTTGCGGATATCCCCTCTGCAGACATCATCGTTTTAAACAGAGGCCAACATTGGACCCCCACGCCACTCTTTGTCTCGGGTGTACAAAACGCGCTGCGCTTCGTGCGGTATTATTTCCCGGGTAAACTTATTATTTACCGGAACACCCCCCCGGGGCACAACGACTGCGAAAATTTCGACCGCCCGTTGGAGAAGCGGCAACCGACAGAAAGCCTGCCGTATTATTGGAAGGATTTACCCGAGCAAAATCGGCTGGCTAAAGAATTGGTGGAGCAGGTCGGCGGGGTGTATTTGGATGTGGAAGAAATGTTGGCTTTGAGGGCAGATGGGCATCACGGTTTTAGCCCGGAGAGGAACAAAACCGATTGCTTGCATTACTGTTTTCCGGGAGGTGTAGATATATACGCGCAATCACTGTACAATGCGCTGATTAGGTTGCTGCCGCCGCCACCGCTTATGGAGGCTTCTTGAGATTTTTCTGGGCTGCAGAGAGGCTGCATGATGTGACTCATTTTTCTAGTAATACTCTGTGCTACCAAAGATTTCAACATGACTTCTACTACTTCAATTATTTTGGCCACTATTGGCAAAAAGGAAGAAAAAATACTATATCTCCATTTAATCTGATTGTTTAGTTTGACATGTGTTGATTTCACTGGATTTTCTGTCAAGGAATCTTGTGAAAATACCTGTTTCTTCTTCATAGGCAGCATATATTCATAGTTTGCATATTGCTACATACATGATTTTTTTTCAAATGTAACATTCTTGACAGATTACCGGTAACTGATTTTTTCATGTGCGCATGTGCCTGAATTCCTCACTTAGAACCCGCCCTAGCACCAACAGTTGAGCGCGAAAACACCTTCAAGTAGTAAGTTTATCAAGCGACACACTCGACCCGTACCGTCATCATAACCTTCGGGTTGTGCCATGTATACCTCTTCTTCCAAGACACCGTAGAGAAATGCGTTCTTGACATCCATTTGATGGATATGGAAACCAAGATATGCGGCTATCGCGAGGAGGACTCGTACCGTGGTGTACTTTGCTACCGCGGCAAAGGTTTCGGTGAAGTCAAGACCTGGAATTTGGGAATAACCTTTTGCCACTAACCTTGCCTTGTACCTATCGAGGCTACCATCACCTTTTACCTTGATCTTGTACACCCATTTGACACCAATTACCTTCTTCCCTGGAGGTGGCTCAACAAGACGCCATGTACCTCGCTTCATGAGACTCTCAATCTCTTCTTCCTCGGCTTTCAACCAATGCTCTCTCTCGGGACTTGCCATTGCCTCACGACGACTCAAGGGCTCTCGCGGAAGGTGTGATGCTGCCATGCATATTGCCTCTACCTTCTTGTGAATGCAATTCTCACTCTCCTCACATGTGCACCTTGATGACATGTCAACCATGAAAGTGAAGGGCTATTTTACCTTGCGGACTCGTTTACCTTTACCAAACTCCTCACTTGGCTGAGACACATTAGTGGTAGGGTTCGGTCTCACAGTGTTTGATTGCGTTGATGCGGTCATTTGCGGCTGAGACAACGGCTGCGACATCGGCTGCGACGGCGGCACGGCTGCTTGTTCTTCTCCTGGCGTGGAAATATCTTGATTATCGGTGTTGACTTGAGGATTAGGTATGGTGACTCGTGGCGGTGAAGCTGAAACGTATGTCGGCATAGTTGGTTGTGAAGATGCTCTTGGTGGGGATCTTGAGACTAGAAGCTTGGGAATTGATGATGACGCTGCCTTGTCGAGAGGTGGTGATGGTTGGGGCTGGTTGGTGTTGTTGCTCGGTGTTGAAGATGGTGGTAACTGATGACGACCGAATCCGGGACGTGGGGGTGAAGTTGAGAAAGGTCTTGGGTGAAGAAGTGGACTGTTGGAGCTGGTGTTGGTGGTGACTCGCTGAAGTGATCCTCGTGCTATGAGCTGGCTTGACGTTGGAACAAGTGATGAACGTGTGGTATGAGAACGAGGTGTTGCGGTGACGGTTGACTTGTTGCTAGGAAGAATCGTAGATGGTGTTGATGTAGGTACTTGGGGTCTTGTAGCTTTTGATTGCTGCTGCATGGGATGATGATGAGCTTCTGTAGTTGCCTATAGAGTGATGGATGGTGATGGGTTTGATGGCGTAGTGGTGGGCTGATCCGGTTGGCGTTGAAATTGTGAGGTTGGTGTTGATATAGCTGGCTGGTTTGTGACTGTTGGCTGCTGCTCCTTTGGTGGTGATGGAACGGTGACTTGCTGCGGTGGATTGTCTTCATTTGATGGCTGAACTTCATCTCCACTTGGTTGAGTAGCTGCTGGTGGCACTGGCGTGGCACGGCTGGACTCGTTGACGACGGCTTGAGGGAGATCGATGATCGGTCCGCTATGGTCAGAATCGGTGTCATCTTGTTCCTCCTCTTGTGTTGTTTCCTCAGGTGCGCTTGCTGGTTCCTGTTGGATAGAGGGTAGAGAGGAGGAAGAGGAAAATTTATGCCAACCTGCAAGGGACATGTCTTCATAGAAAACAACATCCCTTGAAACCACTTCTCGCTTGGTGACAGGATCCCAAAGGACCCATCCCTTGCTCTCATTGCTCATGCCGATGAAGAGGCCCCAATGAGCTTTGCTGTCCAACTTGAGTCTCTTTGCATCTGGAACACGGTATTGGGCCATGGAACCAAAAACACGAAGCATAGACAGATCTGGTTTAACTCCAAACCAAGCCTCATATGGCGTTACACCATCCGGTAAGGGCCTTGTGGGTCTCCTGTTGCGAACATAAATTGCCATAGTGATTGCCTCACCCCACCAGAGCTTGTCAAGGCCTTTGAACTGAAGGAAAGTGGTAGCTATAGCCTGGATAGTGCGATGAAACCTCTCTGCCACTCCATTTTGCTGAGGACTATAGGGACAAGTGAACTGTTGTTTGATGCCCAATGCCAACAACTCCCCCTGAAACGCTTTCCCCATGTACTCACCTCCTCGATCCGACCTCAAGGTGAGTAACTTCTTCCCTGACTCTCTCTCAACAAGTGCTAGCCATTGCTTGAAACACTTGTGAACTTCATCCTTGGTGCTGATGAAAAAGGACCACGAGAAACGACTCTTGTCATCAATGAAAGACACCAAATATCTCTTACCGTTTCGAGTAGGGTCTCGCATGGGGCCGAAGACATCAGTGTGGACCAACTCTAGGAGGTCCCTTGACTGAGACTTAGAAGGGAAGAATGGCTTTCTAGCTAGCTTACCTTCCACACAAGATGGACATGGAACGAAAGAAAAGGACTTGACTGCACTTTCACTCAAACTCAATCCTTCCACGCTCTTGTGATTTACCAACTCTTTCAATGGTTGCACTCCCACGTGCCCCAAGCGTGCATGCCATACCTCAGCTTGGGAGATACTCCCTTTGTTGTTGACTTGATCGGTTGAAACAGCGGGAAGCGAGACAACAACGTTCTTCGTGTTGCTAGCACCGCGCTTAATCTCCAACTTCATCTTGTAGAGCCGCCCGGTACGCTCGCCTTCAGCCACCAGATTTCCTGCACTATCCCACACTTTGGCTTTCCCCCCTTGCAAGAGAACGGAGGCACCTTTCTGTTCGAGTTGTTCGGCTGAGAGCAAGTTTGCTCCCAAATCTGGAACAAACAAAGCTTTATTGACACAAAATGACTTACCATCCTTTTCAAACTCAAGCTTGCCGACTCCTTTGATTGGTACTTTGCCAAGATCAGCAAGAGTCACAGCTTTTGAGTCATATGAGAGCTGAAAATCCTTGAGAATGGACTGATAGGGAGTCATGGTTTCAGAGCAGCCACTATCAAGAATAAACTCCTCACTACTAGTAGAGAAAACGTGCATGCAAGTAGCAGTGTTAAAAAGGACAGGACCATCGGACTCTTTGGACTCATCTTGACTTGTAGAATGACTTGCTATATTTGCTATGGCTGCCTTACCTTTTTCAGATAGTAGCTGAGGTGGGGGGACCCAAATAGGAGGCTTCTTAGGACAAGCATACCACGGGTGACCCCACTCATGACAACAAAAACACTCAAAATTAAACTTTTTAGCATTCGGGGCTTGGCTGAAATTATTGACTCTTGGCGTATTGACTCTTGCATTCCTAGGCTGGTATTGATTGGGAATCGAAGGCCTTGGCTGGACATAGGGACTGGACTTATAGGGAGGACTT